TCACAACTCATATGGTTTGGTGGATTCTGTTGGTCCCACTACTCACCTCCTCCTCCACAGGCCCACGAATGTGTGCGTCCCTGGCCAAGGCTCCTCAGCTAGAAATCATCTTCTTTAAAAGTGAAAGAGACTCTGGCCCCTCCAGGAAGCCAGGAATCCGAGAGCCTGCACAGATGCTTTTCTTCTGAGCTGTGAGAGTGCAGTTTCAAGATTATTCATCTCATTTCCTGTTGTGAAATCTCGGCAGATGCCTGGGCTGGAGGAGTCGGGCTTGAGAGCTTCATCCAGGCCTGCAGAGGCCCTGCCTCCTCAGTGCAGGACTCATGTCTGAGCCTCACTTCACTCATCTACTAATGTGGGCCTCCCAGGTTTGCCAACAGGTCCCAGTTCAGCAAAAGCTCCTGGATCTCCCCAGATTTGTGCTCTGGATCTCTGCACTCCCTCTCCTTCCTATAGCCTGCCCAGCCCACAGCCTCTTCATTTCAGGGAGTGGCTCTCAGGCAAACACTGGGTCTTCTTTCATTCCAGGGCTCTCCTAAATCTCAAATCTGCTCTTTGATTTCCACTAACATCATTTTTTTTCCTGCAGGTGTGTGGTGTGTGTGCATGATCATGTGCATGTGGAGTCACATGTTGATGTGCACGTGCAGTCACATATGTGTACATGTGTGCCATCTGAGAGTTTATGGATTTGGCTAGTCTGGTTAACCAGCCAGGTGGGAGTACCCATGTTCCGTCCTCCTGAGCTGTGGGATGACAAGCCTGTAGCCATCCCAGCATGCATTTGTGAGGATGCTGTGATCAGACAAACGTCCTTATGCTTGCATAGCAGGTGCTTCATCCACTGAGCCGTCTCCCCAGCCCTGACCCTGGCTTTTGAACAGATCTGTAATCTGACTCTTCACTGTGCCCAAGGAGACTGCTGGTCCAGCCAGCATCCTGGGTCTGTGATCCAGCTTCCTAACTTTCCCTGCTAATGCTTCATGGTCTATTCTCAGTCTTAGAGCCAGAGTTACAATCTAATATGTAAACTAGTTTAAGTCACCTCTTAGTCAAACTTTCCTATCCTTTCCATCTCACAGTGAGGGACATACTGGTTCCTCTCAGTGGTCCCGAGCTCTACATGACCCTCTCCATCCCACCCTGCCCTTTTCTGACATTAGATCACACTTCATGCTCCTCACTCACTCTGCTGTGGGTTATCTGCTCTGCCTTTCTATTCCTTGAACACACCAGCAACTCGCTCACCTCAGGACTTTGCACTGGCTTCTCCATTCTTTTGGAATGACTTCCCACTAGTTAGAAGCTTGCTCCCTGCTTTCTGAAGCAGAGCTGCCCTTCCAGAATCCCCTTCCTTTATTCTTCTGCTTGACACTTGTCACCACCCAACAGCACAGACCTTATTTCTTTCTGTCACTTCTACCCACAAAGAGCATGGAATCTCTGGAATACAGGACTTAGCTTGTTCATTGACTGTTGTGTCCCCTGGGCCCAAGTTAGTGCCTGACCTACAATATCAGCATAGAGGTGCTCAGAGTCTCTGAGAGGTGGTTATTTCTTTAATATTAACATTCATTTATTTATTTATTTATTTATTTATTTATTTATTTATTTTATTTATTTATGTGTGGCATGTGTGCACATGCCATGGATCACATGTGCAAGTCATAGGACAACATTCAGGAGTCCTCTCTTCCCACTGTGTGTAACCCTGTGATCCAATTCAGGACACTTCTATGACTTGATGACTATATCGATATGGTATTGGAAGATGTTACAGTCTGAAATTATACCAGAGGAAGAAGGATATGTATCATGAATTCTGATTGGTCTCTACTGAAATCTGAGACCAAAGGGGGCAAGATCCTGTGTCTATGAATCCTCAGACTGAATGCAATGAACTCCTGTCTCCCTCTTGCCTTATATTCCTTTCTCTGCCCAGTCATATCACTTCCTGTCTCCACCTTCCTAGTCCTGGGATTAAAGGCGTGTGACTCCCCAATCCTGGGATTTAAGGTGTGAGCCACCACTGCTTGGCTCTTGCATTGGCCAGTGGGGTGTCAATGGGGGCGAACCACCTGTGGGAGAGAATGAAAGGGACGGGGAGACACTAAAGAAGACAGCAAGACAGGGTTCTGATCAAGCTGCAAATTTTATTCTCCTCAGCAAGGCTTATATAGCATGGGAGGGGGAGGGGGCAGGAAGGAGGGAAGAGGTGCAGTATGTGCAGGTGTAGGGAGACATGCAAGTTGTGAGGCTGTAGGGTGTTGTGCTAGGTGGTAAGTTCACTGGTCAGGGCCCATTGTTTTGTTGTTGCTAGGCTACCTGACCTGCCTGACCTGTTCTTTATCTTTGGGGGCATCTGGTTTAGGGTCTGTGGCTTGTTTTCTGGCCTAGCTAGTACTTTTTCATGGTTCATGTTTGGTCCCTGACAGGCTCTGTTTCTCTTTTAGACTGAATCAATTTCGTGTAGACCAGGGTGGCCTTGAACTCACAGAGATCCACCTGCCTCTGCCCCCCTAGTGCTGGTATTAAAGGTGCGTGCCACCACTGCCAGGCCTCTATGGCGAACTAGTGGCTAGCTCTGTAAGCTTTATTTGTTAGATCGCAAACAAAATATCACCACAAGGATACAAAATTACATTAGATTTTACTAAATAGAAACATAATAATGGATTTCCTTGAGTTTTGTTAGATTCTGGCTTTCCCTCTCCCCAAATTCTTTTTTTTTTTTTTTTTTGGTTTTT